CATTTACAAAAGAAAACATATTTTCAAAGTGAAAAAGAGTTCATTCCGGTGCAAAATGCATCATACAAAATTTTGAACATAACAAATTCGATCATAATACCCGTTCGAAGTCACAAAAACAAAGTTCTCAAACAATCATCACGACATCTCAAAAAAGATCATCATCACGAATCAAAATAGTTCACAACGTTTCGATAAAAATGGAGATACATTGTTCAAACAAAAAATGCAAAAAATTCTTTCGTTTTACAAAAAATGAGGCACATCAGCAGATTGGTAACATAAATGGTAAGCTCAAAAAAGAAAAATATCAAACGAAACCATCAGTTACAGATCTCACAACATCTTTTTCCAAGATCCATCTCAGACCTTGCTTACCAACAACATAAAAACCAGTTGGGGTTTTAAAAATAACCCAGCCCCGATAAGAACAATTTTCAATGATGACCATCGATGTAGCAGAAGCCTTCTCACCACGTTGATCAAAATCATACACCCTGTGGCACAAGATGTCCATCAAAAAGCATTCATCGGCAAGAAACCGGGGGGACGGAACCAGAAATCTGAAAGTATATCAAAAGAAAAAATATTGTAAAATCAAAAGTTGAATTATTTTTTCATGAATACAAACCTGAACACATCCCCTGTTCACCATGCAACTCCTTTGAGACAGAAAAACTTTCCATCCCATTGCAAAAGACTGATGGGCCATTAGAACCACAGTGAATATGCTCCTCAAAAGGAGACTTCCCAGGAATAACATTTCCATCTATTCCCCAAGAAGCAGCATTACCCGCACAAAGATGGACAGGATAATCAGTACATCCTAACCAGGTTAACCCAATTTGAATGCAATTACTGTGATCCCTGGCGAATGCCAACAAACCTCTTGAAGAAATATGACCAAAGCCCACCATATCACCATGGCACATACTAAATCGAGACAAATAAAGGATCAGAGATACAACCGACCTCCACCCCACATGGTCAGGATCACTTTTGTCCAAATACCCGATCAAAGACCTCAATCTTAAATATAAAAACTTTTGATAAATCCTGCCCGCCTCCATACGTTCATCAGGACCAACATAATGTTCAGCCCTAACTGGCGTTAAAGGTAACACAGGAACAAACAAAGATGGACAGGATAATCAGTACATCCCAACCAGGTTAACCCGATTCGAATGCAATTACTGTGATCCCTGGCGAATGCCAACAAACCTCTTGAAGAGATATGACCAAAGCCTACCATATCACCATGGCACATACTAAATTGAGACAAATAAAGGATCGGAGATACAACCGACCTCCACCCCACATGGTCAGGATCACTTTTGTTCAAATAACCGATCAAAGACCTTAATCTTAAATATAACAACTTTTGATAAATCCTGCCCGCCTCCATACTTTCATCAGGACCAACATAATGTTCAGCCCTAACTGGCGTTAAAGGTAACACAGGAACACCATTCCAATCGCAAACAAGACCAATTGGGCACTCCTTTCTCTTCTTTATGCAGGGGGGAGATGCCCCCATAGCAAAAACACAACAATTAAAAGCTTCAGATAACTCACTGAGAAAATAGGGCACTCCTTTCTCTTTTTTGTGCAGGGGGGAGATGCCCCCATAGCAAAAACACAACAATTAAAAGCTTCAGATAACTCACTGAGAAAATCCTCATAAGCTTTAAAAAAGTCATCAAAACAATTAAATTGGCAATAACGATCCGAACGAATTAGTTGCTTGATGTCATTAGTCCCTCCCCTAACAAAAACCCCATCAAAAATAAACGACTCATCGAGCTTTGGATCCGAATAAACCTGATTCCGTAGGTTGGTAGATGACATTGATCCATCCCCACAGACCACGGACCAGCCGGACATAGACCACTGAAAAATATCAATAATATTAGCAAATATATCAAACAGTGAGCATTATCAAAAAATACCTGGTAAATGTCGACATCTAAATCCTCAACCAGATGCGAGAAATTTGGAACAGCATGCTCAGTCCGTTGATCAGCACGAATACGAGTACAAAAAGTAAATTCCTTTCCTTGCAGATGAAAAGAACTACATAACGACGTTGCAATAATAAGGATAGCCTTCCTCTTGGTATTTTTTCTAGATTCCGTAGTAAAATCTAATTTCGCAGTACTAAAGTCGAAATCAGCTAACAGAGTTCCTGGTACTGGCAGCGGAACCTTAACTTGGTTTGACTTCAGTTCCTTGAAAACAGCATCACTTAACTTCATCGATTTCCCAACATTATTGAAATATGTCGGAGAATTATCAGGCATGAATTTTGAAACTTCAAAAATTGAACTCCAATGACCTAGTAAAATAATATAATTAAGGAAAGATAAATCATTTAACAAGTTTCCAAATAACATACGAAACAGGCGGTCGCCTTCATTCAAATCCAGTCCCAAATTAAATTGAAGAATCTCCTCATCTCCAAGACCAGCAATTGCCCCGGTTTGATCTTTTGAAGTACCAGCCATCTCATCAATAACGGCAGGAACACAAGGAATTCTCTCCACCTGTTCACTATAGGCCCCAAATCCACTACGGATATATCATAATAAGTTAAAAATAAAACTAAAAATTCAAAAAATTAAAAAGAGTAAAAAAGAATCCACACCTAAATCAGAAGATTTGGAAACAACTTCCAAATGCTCGTTTGAGGATCCTTCAGATATCTCAACTGCTTTCTCTGATAAAGGTAGGTCTGCTGGCGTGGGAATGGTCAAATGTCCGCACCAAATCTTCTTTAAGGATTCAAATCCACCGATGTTCAAAGTAACGCCCCCGATCCTTGCTTCACAATGGTCGTCTGATAAATTATCAAAAAAATTTTTTTTATCAAAAGGTCCTTTACAAAATAACCTTTACAACTCACCAAAAGTTCGTAGATAATCACCATCAAGAATATTTAAGAAAAAAGTCCGCTCATTCGAAAAGGATTGCAAAAAAGTCTCGCGATCACAAAAGTTGATAATTTTAAAAGAATCATTCAACTTAGTCAGAGCTGTGTTGCATGCGAGTTCAGATTGATGTAATATTTGACGACAAGCACTAAGATCCACATTTAAATCATGCTCCGAGCGACTTAATAATGCATGCTCTTCCTCCACTAAAGCTAGATGAGCTCTCTTCCTACTAATCGAAACGCGTGCCCCCTCAACAGTCTTCTCGTATAGAAAATCACTTTTCACAACGCTACACAGTTCCACTAGACGTTTCCAAGTCCTCAGATCAGCAGTCTCCAAAGTTTTTACAAGTTCCAAAGCCAGCGAAGGAAACTTGATGGTCCGTTCCTCTAGTTTTGGTTGCTCCTGACGTTCAGAGATGTACAGCTCACCTAATAACAGATTCACATCTGAAATGGGTATTGAATCAAATAAATCGCAAATCAAAAGAAATAATCAAAAGAATAAAAAAAACAAAAACTGATGAGAATGACAAAAAAAACATGATATGAAAATAAGATAAGGAAAATAGAAATGAAAACAAGCTTGAAAATGCATAATTGAGCTCAATCGAAAGCAAATTTGAACAAAATATTTCATTTGAATGTGAAAGAATTACAAACTAGAGTTGAAAATACACTCGCAAAGAAAAATAGAGTTGAAATTACACTCGCAAAAAGAACATGAGAGTTGAAATTACACTCAGCAAAAAGAAAGATATAATATGAAAAAGAAAAGACGACAAACCTTCGTCAGGAACATCACCAAGAAGATCCAAAGAAGACAAACCGGTAGCCACATCCATCAGTCCTTCATCGAGCCCAGCCATAGCGGAAAAAACTCAAGAAACTTCAAGGAAGACTCAGAAGAACACTTCAACAAAAAAAGATTGTGAAATCGGCAAAAAAGTTCTATGAGAAAACTCGCGAAAATAGAAAATTAGCAAAATCGGACAAGACACGCAAATCTATCGATCAAAATGAACGCGAAGAAACCTGTGAATGTGATATATTGAATGAAACGTTTGAATAGAGCATAAAAATTATTTGAATTCAGAAACTGATCACTTCCGAATTCAAATACGAGCACGTATCAAAAGACAAGGGACCCTCTCACAGACCCTCTGACGTAGAAACTTTCAAAATGAAGCTAATGGCCGGGTAACCATTGCGCACGCGAATCCCTGTCATGGCGTTTAAGAGCCTAATGCCCAGTGAAAGAGCACGCCTGGCGGCGGGCTCCTTTACTGGGCAGGGGGGATTATGTTGGGGACTTGCGACGCACCCCGAATAAAAATCAATTAAA